TGTTGTTGCTATTGAGTTGGATGGTATGTGCACGAATCGGGAAATTGTGTGTTTCTGGCACATACATTTTTTATGGTTTGAGCATTTTCTATAATACCATGTAACTGTAGGAGCACAAGCAATCATAGAACATAGCCTCAGCGAATGAATTTCGTTGGGCTTCGTTGTGATTCTATTCGTGGTATGAGCACGTTAGATAGATAAGTCTTGTGTATTATATAAATTATAATGCATCCAGTGCGTATCCTACCATATGAAACATAGTAAAATTACTTTTCAGTGTGATTTTTTCACTTTTTCTGAAGTACTAGATTTTTCCTTGATTTTTTCTTCATTCGAAATGCATTTGTAAAGGAAAGTGTAGCGGAAAAAAATTGTTAAAAATTTCCTTAAATCTAGTACAATTATTCAATACCAAACATCTAGTTCATTCTCAAAATACTTGAAAAAAATTAAAATTAAAAATTAAAAAGTCCGTCTTTTGAGACGAAGAAAGAGGATGAATTCATTTGAATATTCAAATGAAATATTTGACAATAGATTTATTTCAATTTTGTGAAATTTTTAAAGTCGCCTCAAAAATTGAGTGAAGAAATATAACTTGAAAAAAAAAAAATACTCGAATAGTTTGCTATGCCTTTTTCAAATCATCAAAAAATGCACACTGCTGATTATTTCAGTATTTTTCATTTAAAAAAAGATATCCAAACTCATTGTCCTACAAAAGTAGTAAACCCAACAAATATACGTGAAATATAAAAAAGTAAAAAATATTTTGAAAAGCTCAAATATTCAGATTCATGCTAATTCCCTCGATTTTTTTCATTAAATATATATTCACATATTATTACATATATTGTTGAAAAAAATCCCTTTAATCTAAAAGGTACAGGTTCCCCCATTCAAATAAAAGCAAATAATTTTTTATCCAATCTCATACTACAACGAAAACTCCCTTTCGGCTCTAGTACATTTGGTTTTTGTGTTGAATGCATTCGAAATGAACGATGAGTATGAGTTTTCCGTTTATTTATTCTTCCACACATTCGTTCTACGCTTGATGGATTTTTATACTTAGTTCTGTATATTTTCCTCTATCTCTTTTTCTCTCTCTTCGTTTTGGTGTAATGCCATCTTCTTTGCGCCAATGATTTGGCACTTAAGTTTAAGTATATAAGCGGGATTTTCATTGAAAGTTAATTGTTATGTACAGTTGTTGTTAGAGGCTTTAATTTATACAATTTTGAACCATTTTCAAATTGAACATGCGTTCGTTCGTTTGTTCATTCTGCCTCATCGGCACGATACAAATAACAAAGCGTTCATCTACATGGCAATTGTATTATATACATGAAATGGTTGGTGCGCATGTGCTGGTTCTCTTCTATGTACAGAGTCAATAGACGATTCGTACGCATAAACGAATTCAGTGCAATGACAGAGCCAACGATTGAATGAGAAAGAGTGAGACAGAGACAGGGAGTAAAAAAGAAAGAGTAGAACAATAACAATTGACTATACCATCAACCCTATTAAGTTTATGTTATTAATATTATATACAAACATGAATCGAGCGGTTGAAGTAACACAGCTCATGGTATATATATGCTATATATAAATACGAGTCGTTCGGAACGAATAAAATAGAGTGAACGAAACACGAATGGGAACAGTAATAAAAGAAAGCAAAAGAGAAGAGGAGAGAGAAACAAAAAGAATTAAAGAAGATTGATCGCGCAGCCGATACTCGATGTTCAATTTATATTACATGAACCAAATCACGGGACCGAAGAGGTTTTCGTTGAAGGCCGATCAAAATATATATAAAAAAAATTAATAATTTTTTTTTTATTGTTGTTACTCACCAATATAATTTCCATGAAACTATTTGCCGGTTGTTCTCAGTTCAAATGTATGTGCTCAAAAAATGTCTAAACAAAATAAAACGATACACATATTTAATTAACTTCGTTGAACTGCAAACGAAGAATATATATATATCTATAATTAATATTACGCAAAGTTTATATGCTGTTGCTGCAACAACAAAAAAATACCAACTAACGAAAAAGTCTGTGTGTTCATCTTCACAGACAGTCAGAGACGGTACATCGTGCTTATCGTCGTGCCGTTCGTTCGAAAGAAAAAAAATCACACGAAAAAGAAAAGCGAAACAATCCAATGCATACACGTTCATACAAATACACACACATATACGCGTATATATACGAATCCCACTTGCACGCCCGACCGTATATCGATACAACCGTTCGACTGTGTGTGCCGTACACATTGCCGCATATATTCCAAACGAGAACGGAAAACTCATACACACAAACTGAACGACACACATACCACGACATTAACCACTAGAAACCAATTCCCATTCTAATTATCTCTCGGCGCCCTTTCTATCCATGATACTCACGGACATACACACATTCGCACGCACACACATTCACACGAACATATCGAAGTGATCAATTGTCGTGTGCTTTCCAACAAAAGCCAGAAACTCAAAATTATAACAAAAAAAAAGTGAGCAAGACGTTATGTGCATGAGAAATTAGCACGAATTGTGATGGAACAATCGACATATGCAAACTATGCAAATTGAAAAGAAGATCGAATAACAATGCGATTTTTTGAAAAATGTTTTCTAAGCAATGATTGGAATGGATAGATTGAAATTTATCATGATTTTCCGAGATCAATTGTGACGCAATGGTAATTTGTTTATAAAATTGGCAAAGACGGTAACTACTAGTAGTAATTTAAATAGAGTCATAAAATCTACATGTACTACGTAAAAAAATATATTAAAGGATATTGGAATTGACTTACATCTGGAAGAAAAATCGATCAGAAAAAAAATTCTGATAAAATGCTTTTTCCACACTGAAAATTGTTGGTTGGCTCGGATGAATACAAATTTCACGTACGTTTTGCTTTACCAACTTCTTTATGACTGTTTTATGGTGAAGTCGTCGTCTCAGTAGATTGCTGTTGTTGCTCTGTTTTGCTTCGGTTCGTCTTTTTTCCCATTCGAATTTCATGTATTTTCACTGTTTATGCTTGTGTTGGGGTTCGATTGTGTGCGCATACCCCAGCCTTTGTACAATTGGATGAAATCAATCATCCAATCCGAGGCGGTTATTCATTTTTTTTTTCTTTGCCAACACGCAAAGCATTCAAACAGAGAATTGGTTTTCGTTTTGTGCACATATGTATTGTGTCTCGTTCGCACCCATGCACCAAACAATAAGTGCAAAAGAGAACGTTTGCCATACAACATGAACCAACATACATATATCGTGATGGACTCGGTTTATGTGTGAATCGTTTCTTTTTGTTCGTCTTGTTGGTTTTAAAACGGGGGAATTCAACGTTGAATGTATCGCTTGAATGTGTATAGACGCTTGTGAAATGACGGGATGTGTAAATGTGTGTGCACCGAATAGAATGTGAAACATGATGTCGAAACAAAAAGTAGCTCATACTCAAAAGCGACGTACATTTTGGTTTGGAGTGGGGCGGATACACACAGCATATGCGCTATACTATCTGACTATATGTCGATATATATGAATGAACGTTCATACAGCAGCTGCTTTGTATCAATAACACAATGGCTGTGTGTTTTGGTGCAAACGGTGACATTGGTAGGGAGCGTATTCAACATGCTTTGTGTCAATGTATGCGTTATTTTGAACATCAAACGAAGATATTACATACACCAATTCAGTCAGACTGTACAAAATGCTTCGAAGCACAAAAATGAAATGGTATCTTTGTTCTCGTTCACACCATCGCTTAGCTGAAGCCGATCACATGAAATGGAGATGAATGTATGGTATTTTTGTCTGTTTGCGATTACTTTTCTCAACTTCGTGTGTCGAATTTCGATACGTTTCGATATAGTATTATACAATGTTGGAAACGAAGTCAATGGCAATGTATGCGTGATGTAGATCGTGTTGCCGAATACGATATATTTATGCTCAGATTTTCGTGTGTTGTCGTAAGAAGAAAAAAAAATGTATTTTTTTTCGTCGACCACTTTCACATATACTTCGTAAAACTTCGATCAGATTTATTTAATGAAGATTAATGCTTTTATGCAAACTACAAAATTATTATTATCTACACGAACAAAAAAATTGCCAAAACTTTCCAGTTTTATGTGTGCTTTTTGAAAATGTTTTTTTTTTTTTTTGTTTTTTATTGTGTTTGCTTTACACTTTTATTCATTCGTTGCATATGTGATTCGAAATGACGCAGGTATATCACATATGCGGCCCAATTTTGCACAGCTATGTCGAATGTGCCTTTTTTACGCTTCTTTCGTTAATTTTTATTATTGTTGTTCAATATTTGTTTTCGTCGGTTCCCTCTTGCACCAATATTCGTTCGGATGAGGTTGCCGCTTATATCTCTCGACTTCTCTCCGTTCTTTGTTGCTGTCAAGTCGTTTGAATGACTCTTTTTTTTTAAATGTGTTACCTTCTTTTGTGTACAAAATTAAAAATGGATGTTTTATTACCAGACAGCCATTTGCTACAAAAGAGATTATGAACATACGACTACGTTACTCTTATTCTAACAAAATGAACGCAGATAAATGTTAATTCTATTCATCACACACACACGAAATTTTAAAGCGCAAAATATATTGTCGAGTGTTTTCAGATGTCGTAGATACAATGGGAGATATTTGTCTACGACGACGTCTTCGTACATCTCTTACGGAATGTCTCACAGGATTCTTTTTAAGTATAACATAATACACTTGAAGCGAGACTTTTCTTTCTCTTTTTATAATAATAAAATATTTTGTGAAAACCAAAGTAATAGTTTTCCATCACAAAAGGAACTCTTCTTAATGTTTCTTACAATATTAACTTTTAGAAAATCGTATAAGTTTCCTAAGTCTTCATTTTGTGTTGCAATTTGCATGAGCTTTTTGATGACTTCAATTTCTTTCTCATTTTTGGTTACAGGACATTGAATAAAAGTTAACATAAAATGTATCGTCCATTAGCCAGCATCTCAAATAAATTCAGGAACATCAACAACTTTTCCTCAATTGAAAGAAGTTATCAATCATCAAAGGCACTGCCAGATTTAACAAAAGTAATTACATTTTCTTGGGATTTTTATTTTAAGATTCAAAATATCAATTCTCTTTCGGTAAAATTTATTGAAATCAATTCGTTGGTCAGTGCAAAAATGATTTCGTTGAATTTTTTTGTTAAATAAAACTGAAAATAAATTCCAAAATGTCCATAGGATCGATACGCAGTTCAACGAGGTGATTTCTCTGAAATCAAAAATAGTGATATAAAACACTTTGAATCGATATTATCATCATCACGGTGTATCACAGATAAAAGTGATATCGAGTCGTACAATGTTGATTTTCTTGGTGCCGTACGTGGTTACAGTCAAGTCTTGTTGAAACCGAAAACAACCGAAGAAGTGTCGACTATTTTGCAACATTGTAATTCACGAAAGTTGGCCGTATGTTCTCAAGGCGGAAATACTGGTTTAGTTGGTGGATCGGTACCCGTTTTTGATGAAGTCATTCTATCAATGCAGCTTATGAATAAAATTGAACATGTTGATGAAATGGCTGGCATTTTAGTTTGCCAATCGGGATGCATTCTAGAGAAATTAGAAGAGCATGTATCAGAACGTGGCCTATGTATGCCAATTGACTTGGGCGCAAAAGGTACCTGCCACATTGGTGGTAATGTTTCAACAAATGCCGGTGGATTGAGACTTTTGAGATACGGAAACTTGCATGGAAATGTGTTGGGAATTGAAGCGGTCAAAGCGGACGGAACTATTTTGGATTTGATGTCAAACTTTAAAAAAGACAATACGGGTTATCATTTGAAACATTTATTTATTGGATCGGAAGGTACACTCGGTGTGATTACAAAATTGGCCATCGCTTGTCCAACCGCATCAAAAGCAAAAAATGTGGCTTTTCTTGGTTTGTTTCCATTTTCTTCGTCACTTTCTTCCAAGAGAATTGATCTATTAATTTATATATAAATGTCTTAGGTTTGGAAAGCTACGATGCATTACTTAAGACATTTTTGGCAGCAAAACGAGATCTTGGTGAAATTTTGTCGGCTTGCGAACTCATTGATAGTGAATCGCTTAAAGTTAGCACTCAACAATACAATTTAACGTAATTTTCTTGAATTTTCTGTCCAGCCACCAACTTTTTTACTTATTTTACCATCCTTTAACTCGATTGTAGTTCACCAATATCTGAATATCCATTTTATTTGCTACTCGAAACGTCCGGCAGTAATGCAGAACATGACGAAGAAAAAGTAAGTAATTTTCTTGAAGCAGCAATGAATCGTGGCGACATTCTTGACGGCACTGTATCCAGTGAAGGAAACAAAGTGGCACAGATGTGGCAATTGCGCGAAAGCATTCCAACAGCATTGATTAAAGAAGGATATGTCTTCAAATACGATATATCATTGCCTTTGTCACATTTCTATGAAATCGTGCCGGTGATGCGTGAACGAGTTGGTGATTTGGCCATTCGAGTTTGTGGATATGGACATATTGGTGATTCAAATTTACATTTGAACGTTTCGTGCACAGAATTTAATGATAACATTTATAAACGAGTCGAACCTTTTGTCTATGAATACACATCGAAATTGCGGGGCAGCATTAGTGCCGAACATGGGATCGGATTTTTGAAAACGAATTATTTAAAATACTCAAAACAACCGGAAGCGCTCGATTTAATGAAAGAGTTGAAAACGATGATGGATCCCAATGGAATTTTAAATCCTTACAAAGTTCTACCTCGAAATACATAAGTAAAGAAACGAATAATGAATTTTGGTGCTGTTAATAATATTAATCGACTGTTAAAATTTGTAAATATTTAAATGTAATTTGAAAGTTTACGGAATAAAAAATATATTTTTGATATTAAAATAGACTATTTTGGGAAAACATTTTGGAATTTTTTTCAGACAATATATTAAATTAACTGGTCAGTTGAGCTGGCAGTACATTAGCCAGCTAAATGGGCTAAAACAATAGACGTTATTGTTTTAATGATGAATCAATTTTCTTGTTTTAATAGAAGTGATTGTTCATTATAACAATAACTTCTATTGTTTGAGTCCATTTAGCTGGCTAACGTACTGTCAGCTCAACTGACCAGTTAGTTCAATATATTGTCTGATTTTTTTTAATATTGAGAAGAAATGTTCCGTTTAATCATTCATTATGTGCTTCATTCAAATTTGGCCAAAGTTACAAGTATTTCTGATTTTTTTTTTTTTGCATGAATATTTTCTTTTATATATTTTTTTTGTTCAATATTTATATTTTGAATTACCAACAGTTTTCTTTGCTTCGAAACTAATATTGTTAATTTTCAAAACAATTTTTTTTTTTTTTTTTTTCAAATTATTTTCAGAAAATTCTTTATTTTCTTCACAGCAATGAAACGACAACAACAATAACACATATTTTTACTGTCAAAATTTTGATATCAAATGGTGTCGACATTGGTGACGGTATTTTGAAACAGACTGTGTAATCCATATTCATCGTATATGATCCTATGTAAAGTTCTATACTTGATCTAGTTCATATTGACGGTTCAAATCGTTTATGTCCACTAGCGAGGACATGGACTGTGTGTTTCTTCTGTTACATGTACGTTGTAATGGACAAGTATAGTAACATGGCGTCGTTCAAATAAATTTAAAAATCCGTCCACTCGTATCGACACCATCTAGCACGGTAGTAGGAATTTCATTGCTGTGATTTTCTTCGTTCATTTTTCAGTTTGGTTTTTCTTTACAAAATATTTTGCACGTTTTTTCCTTCAATGTTTACTCTCTGCACTAGATAAACTTTGCCAAAAATGCTCCGTAAACTGAATACCTTAAAACAATTTGGAAACTTGAACTTTACAGCATGTGCCGCATATCATTCAACAAGGAAAATACCAGATTTGACCAGAGTAAATTTTCTTCGATTTTTCAATTTGCTTTTCATCTATTGATTAAACTTTTAAATGCCATTTAAAAGGATAGATATTCGGTGAAGCGTGGCGACTATGGTACACTTACAAATGACGACATAAAATACTTTGAATCGATTTTATCAAATCGATGTATTACCGACAAAAACGACATCGAAATGCATAATATTGATTTTTATTATTCATATCGAGGCAGCAGTCAATTGTTGCTTAAACCAAAAACAACCGAAGAAGTTTCGGCGATATTGAAACATTGTAATTCGCGAAAATTGGCCGTTTGCCCGCAAGGTGGAAATACTGGTTTGGTAGCCGGTACAACGCCAATTTTCGATGAAATAATCATATCGATGCAGCTAATGAATAACATTGAGCGCGTGGATGAAGCTTCGGGTGTGTTGGTATGTCAGCCAGGATGCGTTTTGGAAAAATTGGAAGAGCATGTATCACAGCATAACCTTGTGATGCCGATTGACTTGGGTGCAAAAGGTACTTGTCACATTGGTGGTAATGTTTCAACAAATGCCGGTGGATTGAGACTTTTGAGATACGGAAATTTGCATGGAAATGTGTTGGGAATCGAGGCTGTCAAAGCGGACGGAACTATTTTAGATTTGATGTCAAACTTTAAAAAAGACAATACTGGTTATCATTTGAAACATTTATTCATTGGATCGGAAGGTACACTCGGTGTGATTACGAAATTGGCCATCGCTTGTCCACCCGCATCCAAAGCGGTGAATGTCGCACTTGTCGGTTAGTTTTTATTTGCTTTCATTTTATTCTCGGCCATGTGGATTGAATATCAAACTGAATGGTTTCATTATTCCGTTTGCAAAAATAGGTTTAAACTCATTCGAAGATGTACTTAAAACTTTTACGAGTGCCAAACGGAACTTGGGCGAAATTATGTCAGCATGCGAACTAATGGACCATCAATCGCTTCGTTTTAGCGTCGACCACTATAAATTGAAGTAAGATTTTATTTTTCAATTGAAATCAGTTTTGTGTTTCCTCCCCTTTTTTTCGTGTTGTTTCTATAATTCTGATTTTTTTTTTTCTTCATTCAACTAATTTCTTCAAATTTAGTTCGCCCATTGGTGAGTATCCATTTTACTTGTTACTCGAAACATCTGGCAGTAATCTAAAGCACGACGAGGAAAAAATGAATAGTTTTCTGGAATCATCATTGGCACGCGGTGATATTCAGGATGGTGTGGTTACCAATGAAACTGTCAAAGTGCGGCAAATTTGGGCGATTCGTGAACTTCTTCCGACAGCCAAAATAAATGAAAAATACTTTTTCAAGTACGACATTTCAGTGCCCCTTTCACGTTTCTATGAGATAGTTCCGGTGATGAGAGAACATCTCGGCGATTCAGTCTGTGATGTTCAAGGTAATGATGACTCGTGTCGTTTTTTCATTGCTGTTGTTCTAATTTTTATCATTTTTTCCTTCTTTTTTGATTTTGTGCTTAGGTTTTGGGCATATCGGTGATTCAAATCTCCATGTGCATATCATTTGCGATGAATTCAGTGACGAAATTTACAAACGCATCGAACCGTTTATATATGAATATACGGCAAAAATGAAGGGAAGCATCAGTGCTGAGCATGGAATTGGATTTCAGAAAAAAGAACTCTTAAAAACATTCAAACAACCGGAAGCATTGCATTTAATGAAGGAATTAAAATCAGTAATGGATCCAAATCACATTTTAAATCCATATAAAGTTTTATGTGATTAAAAGATATTTGTATTTTTGCACAAAAAAAAACTCTTGCACAATTTTATATATATCGAATAAAAAATGATTAAAAATTTCAATGCCTTTCATTGAAAAAAATTACTTTTAATAAAATGTTTGCTCAGATCTTCTCCCCCTCTAGAATTAATTGAGATTTTAACTTAGCACCAAGATGTACGTGAGAGATAAGAGCTCAATAGGTAAGTAAACGACATCTTCTCAATGACAAATATTCGAATGCCGTGCGTGCATATTTTCCATGCCACCAAAACTGTGTGCTGGTATATCTTTTCAAAACACGTCTTATTCGATGTGCAAGCGAGTATCATGACACCACACACATAGATTCTCCATAATCAGTGTTCGACTTCGTGCCATCGCTATTGGTGCGATAAATATTTCATACGACGAAACGAAGCGAATTTTATAGCCTACAATAAATATTCTATTCGACCGTTTTGGCTGTAACCACACACATACAATAAACGCTTGCATATATATCGAACGATAAATGACGGGAGAAAAAAAAGGAATGTATGCAAAACGCGCATCAAGAATTATTTCGATTCGTTTGGCATGTTCCACACTTTAAATGACTGTGCAAAACAGCAATCAAAAAAGAGAACGTGAAAATGATAGTAAGAATGAAAAATTGCAAGCGCACAATTCATCAAACCGAATAGTAGATGTATACGGGGAAAAAAAAGACGGACGAAGCAAAACGAAGGAAAAAATGAAAAAAAAAATGTGGAAAAAAGTTCACATTTCATTTGCAAGGCATTGCGCAAACTCGGCATTTATTCGAGTTTTGTCGATTCGTTTTGCTCTTCTTTCGTTGTTCAACTTCGGCTTCGTCGTTGTCTCTTTTGTTTCTCGCTCCGTTTTCCATAATACAAATCCGTATTAGAATTGCTGATACTCGCTGATGGATACATACAGTATATTTAAATGCAATCACTTACAAATCACGAAGCACAAATTCAAGGTAATTGACTTTTCTGTCCGTTGTTCGTATCGTACGCTTCTCATTTTTTGTCACCAAATTTTCGCTTTGGCACTCGCTTTTCGTTGGCACACACGAATTTGGTGAAGCGGTTATTTAAGCTTTGGGTTAAATCATTTGAATAAAATGAATCGTATTCTAATTGATTATTGGCTTCTGAATTTATACAACACTTCATTATAAATTCAAATGAGATTATATCGGCTATTCATTTTAAATTTTAATATTCTCAATATTATGCCGCTAGTCAAATGCCAAAGATTTAACGTGATTTTTCTATTCTGTAGTTTTTTTCGGAGAGTGAAGAATTTAATTTTCGGAAGTGGGAAACAATATTTAAGCTTCTTAATTTTGGAACAAAATGGCTAATTAATATTCTTAGCTATAGAACAAAATTACTTTTTTTTCTTTTTTCAGTTTTATTCATGAATCTAAGAAGAGATTTAAAATAATTTAATTCAATATTTTTTTTAATAATTAAAATTTAATTAATAATAATTCTCATATTTATAATTCCTGATAAATTTTTACATTTTTTTTTAAATTCTTGATTCGATATTTTTTTGGTTTCAATTAGCTCTGTTTAATAACAAAATCTATTAAATGATATATTTTTTTTATTGAAAATTGGATTTAAAGTAAATCATGAATGTATGAAAAATTCATAAAAAAAATTGTCAACGTAAATCATATGTACAATTTTAATGACTTAACTAATTAGGGCAGAGACTATTTTAAGAAAATTTTACAATTGCAGAACAGAAAAAAATCGAGGATATGACATAATTTTTTTAAGAACATTTTTTCAATATGGTTTTTTTTATTATTACATTATAAGCAGACGATTTTTGAGCTCGAAAATGGAGGACATTGCCATCAAAATTGTCCTAGAATTTTTCAAAAATTTCAATAATTTTACAAAATTTACAACTGCATTTTTCAATTTAGAACTGCAGAAAAAGATACTATCTGCAGTTTAAAATAGTCTCTGACATAGGCTCTAATATTCATAAAATCTAATGTACTTTATGAAAATTTAAAAATGTCTTTATAGATATTACAAATCAAAATGACAAATTATGAAAACGAGACAATATATTGAACTAACTGGCCAACTGAGCTGACAATACGTTAGCCAGCTAAATGGGCTAAAACAATAAAAGTTATTGTTATAATGATCAATCACTTCTATTGTTTTAGCCCATTTAGCTGGCTAACGTACTATCAGCTCAGTTGACCAGTAAGTATATACAATATGTTGTTTGTGAAAACCTTTTTTAAAAGAGTCACATTAGCTTAAAACAATATTAGCTTGCCAACAATATCGGAATTAAGCAATGTTAATTGTCCATAAAATAATCATGCCTTCCTAATAAAGATATTTCCGCCTCGTAAGTTCACGAAATCTTCAAAAGTCTTTATAAAAGAATAAAAATATGTTTATGCTTGCATTCCATAAAACCTTAAATTTATCGCTTTGAATGCATGGAAATTTGATAATTCTCTGGTGTTGGTTCATATAATTTATATGTACATCATATTTTGATTTAAAGTTATTTCAGTTTTCGTTTTAAAAATAGAAATATCGTATTTTTCTTCTTTTATCATAGCCAGACATTATAATGAGATATTTTCAGCCAGATGATTCAGCCCAGCCAGATATCGTCAGGAGCTGAAATTTAGTGAAAACAATAGAAGTGATTGTTATGGCTATAATTAAACTTATATTGCTACAATCACTATAACAATCAATTTTATTGTTTTCATTCCATTTCAGCTCCTGACGATATCTGGCTGAGCTGATTCATCTGGCTGAAAATATCTCATTATAATGTCTGACCATAGCTAAAAAGAATGTTTCGTGTGCCTTGTTTTCATTTTCACCAGTTATATGAATAAAAATTCTCAATTTACCCAGAATTCAATTCTGATCTAATCCGTTTATTCTATAAGATGTTGGATTTTTATTGGTAACGAAAATAAATGTGCTGGTATTTCATATGCATTAGAGGGTTTTGCATTCAGACAAGATTCGTTATTATATGTAAATTTTATGTGATAATAAATGTGTGTCACAATATCCTTGCGAAGTATTAAAAATGATTTAGTTGGTTGTTCCGAAAGTTAGCCATCGACATTTTATTATGCCCGATTTTTATGGTCAGTCGATTCGCTTAATCGGCGATCTAAATTTTGCGTCGAAAATAAAGAAGTTGAATGATTTTGAATGTTTCTTGTTTCTATACTATTGTATATTTCGGCCGGTTTAGTTGATGACTTCATTTAGAAACCTATAGATTTTGCACAGAACCAGTTTTATTAACTTCAAGAGTCGAGACGAACGCACTTATGGCTCGTAAAAATTATGAACACCGCGAAAAAAAATGCACCCGAAAGGAAAAGAATACCACAGCAAAAAAAAGCTAATGAAAGCAAAGATGAAAAAATGGACAATTTGGATAACATAAAAGTTGTGAAGAACTTCATCCGAAGATGTTTAAAACGAAATAAAAAGCAGCAAAATAATTCGCCAGCATTTTCAAGGAAAACATATATAATTCTTGTGACTAAAGGGCGACCACAAAGCAACGGCTCAATGTATTCACATGAACGAATTTAAAAATGATGCAAAGTTATTTCATATCGCATCGCATCGGAGCCATATTGCAATGTAAGCGTGTAGCTAAACAAAGAATGAAAAGAAGCACAGCAAAGCAAACTGAACAATTTTTGGAATTTGTTTTACAGTGAAAACAATCTGAACTAGCTGCATAAGTCGGTTCCATTGTGATATTTCTGTTTTGTTGTTTTTTTCATTCCGTATGGAGCTCTATATTTGTAAAATTGCTGTATGTATATCTATAGATATAGTCAGGCCATGCCACACATGTATGTACTTCATTATTTTCGTGCTTCTTGATATTTCATTTTGAACTTTCTTTCGTTTTACCACACGTTATTGTCGTTTCGATTCATTCTTTGCACTTGGATGCAATGCGCTTGCTAGGAGAGCCAATATGTGTGCAATTATAAATATATAGGCATTTATTTTCGGTTGTTTCGCTTTATGAAGCGTTCACTTTGCGCACTTATTATGTCCAATACACAACTCATACGAGTAATGCTCAGTGCGTCTGTTTTTATAGGCGTATATACACTATGTAATTATATATTATTCAAGTGGACGACTAAACAATGAAACGACAATAAAAACAACTGAATGCGGTTCAATTCGACCAAAAAGAAATGTCTGAAATTGTTGAACTGCAAATAATTACATTATTGTCAATTTTTTCAAGTAAATTAAGGGAAAAAAATTTCAATTTATTTTATGCAATTTTTTTCGAATGCATTTTCTCATGCATCGTGATTTTAATTTGCGATTTTTTTTTTAAATTTTGCGATACATTTTTTTAAACATATTTTTAGATATTTTTATTTAAAAAAAAATGTGCAAAAAAATCTATGTTTTTCCTTTCATAATTTCAAGGCGGAATTCAGTAGTCAATAAGTGATTTGCTGTGTGCAATAAAAATATCAAAAAAATGTTTAAAAGTCCATTCTCGCTTCGTTTGCTATGAAATTGTAAGCGCATACAAGAATGTCAAGAGCTAAATAAATATCCGATGTCATTAAATTTACATTATCGCGTTCATAAAATCTTATTTTGTGGGTATTTACGATGAGAGTGTTACACAATGGTAGTAATGAATACAGCTCTACTGTGCTCTGTACATTTTCTCTTCATTTGTTCAATCCAAAAAAAAAAAAACAAAAAAAACCATCTCACAAACACAAAGCTACGCTTTTCTTTCATTATTGAGTGTGTGAATGGGAAGACTATATTTGAATGCCATGCATCGTTTTACTGGTGAGAATGTGACAACACTAGATGTTTTCTACTGACGTTTAACGAAGTGTTGCCTTATACGAAACTCATCGACAACCGAATGCGAGAAAGAATCGAGTATACTTTTGTAAAAAGAGACAAGTGTATTGAAAGACTTCTAGATCTGTCAACTGTCAAAAAGCATACGGCGTGCAATTTTCATTCGCACAAATTCATTCAAAATAACATCAATTCTTCAGCAAATACAACGAATAACATAATTTTCAACAAAGTCAAATCGTAAAAATTCACCAAAGAAAATCCATTGAAAATGACTGGTTCGGTGACAAAAGTACAAGTGTTGTCAATTTACAAACAATTACTGCGTGAATCACAGAAATTCGATTCGTACAGTTTTAGGTAAGTTAATGGAATTGGATTATAAATGCTTTAAAATAAATATTGTGGAATTATTTAAAAATATTAATTTCATATGTTTCTACCCGTCGTTTATAGAAATTACGCCGTGAGACGAATCAAAGATACATTCAAACTCAATAAAAGCATAACTCAAGCAATTGAGGTGCAGAAACAGTATCAAATTGCTAATGAAAATTTGGGCATAATTAAACGACAGGTATGTATTTCAACGATGATATTGTTAAGAAATATGTAGCTCATTCAATTTATCTCATTAAAATCACAGGTAATCATTGGAAAAATGTATTCAAGCGACAAATTAGTCATCGAAAATCCTAGTAATAAGTAAGTCAAACACATCAAGCTACACACTTTGAAGTCTATTGAATGTTTGGTGCAAACTTCTAAGCAAATCCCATGGATCAAAAACAAATATCGAACGATGCATTTGAAAATGATAAACAAGCATTAGTTTTGGTTTTTATAGAATGAACGAAAGCAGTAGTCTTTGTTATGTCAATTTGATACATAATTTAAATGAATAAAATCTATTACAAATTATAAAGAAGAAGATAAAAACGAAGTCCGGGTTTTGTTTCAATCATCATCTAGTCTCTCTCAAATTTTCATTGATATTTTTTCCATTGTGTCCATTAGCAATGTTATTATTTCAAAATTGTCAATAGCAACAACACCCTAGACACAATAGATGGCGTTGTTTCATTCACTGTGTTTCTTTTGCTTTTTTTTCCATTGTGAAAAAAACCTATCTCGTATAGAAAGCACATTCATTGAAAACACACTGTTGACTTCTCGTTCATTCGGTGTCGCGATTGACAACAACAACAATAACGAAGGCAACAGCAGTAAAGAAGGCATGCCGATACAAATTATCGTCGTAAAAATTAACACACATAATCGACGATCGTACGATAGACGTATACGGTGTGTTTGTATGCGTTAATGACCTTTCCATGGGCACGCTAGACCCATGTGTGTGCAAGAGCTATCGTAATACGTCATGCGGCTCGAAAACACATGCAAAATAATATTCAAAACGTACTGAGCAGCCGTCAAGACATCCAACATTGTATACGAAAATTTCATCACATATATTTTCAACTATCGTGCTTCAGTCATCGCATGATTTAGCTGGCGTTCGGATTAGAGCGAGTGTCTTTACCTAACGAATTTACTCACATTCCAATTTTTAATTTCTAATTTGAATAAAATTCGGTTTTCTCTCATAATTTTATTGCTGATTTTAATTCATCTTTCAAAATGTCACAGTAAGTTTCCGTCATTATTTTCGGATATGTGTGTGTGTGTGTGCTTTTATTCTTATTTAATGTGAAATTGTTGAATGATGTGATTTGTCAAAAAAAGAGTATATTTCTAATGAATTATGTGGTTGTTGTTGTTGTGTTTCTCCACAGAAAAGCCGATATTGCATTAATTGGTTTGGCTGTCATGGGCCAAAATCTGATTTTGAATATGGATTCGCATGGATTTGTCGTCTGCGCCTATAATCGTACCGTCGATAAGGTATGACCATTAATTTTTAGAAATCTTCATAAATCAAAATTTGGCACTCAATTATTGACGTACTTGTACGTGTGGATTTTTTTTTTAACCAAATCATGGTGTTTGTTTTAATTTAATTTCCTGATTTGATTTGAATTTGAAATAAGGTGACGCATTTCTTGAACAATGAAGCCAAAGGCACAAATATCATTGGAGCCACTTCATTGAGCGATATGGTCAGCAAATTGAAAACACCACGCAAAGTCATGCTCTTGGTCAAAGGTAAGCAAGCATACATTTCATAATAAGTCGTTTTTAGTCACCCTTTCCCTCTCTCCCTCTCTCTGTTTCTGTTATTTTTCAATTCATTTGTTTCAAAAAGTGTTTTGTTCGCTTTATGACTATTACAATTGAAAGCATATTTTATTTGCAAATTGAAACGTTTGTGCGTTATGTAAGGTTCCTGTGACCGGATTCAATGTTAATCGCGGCAATTTTTTTGTTGTTGCTTTGCATCTACTGTATTGTGCACATACGCAATATACATCGTCATTGCGCACGGCTAGTAATAACAATTTTGACGTTATAATCGTGCGCATGCTAGTTGTTGATTTGGTATGTTCAAAGCACAGTGTGTTTCGCACAGAGTTGTGTGCCGTGTAATTTTTATTGCAATTGTGCGCGCGCTCATACACGCGCTGATAGTATGAATATATGTGAGAAGTCACGCAGAACTTTTTTTTTATATATTGGCTGTACTTAACGATTTGTACGAAATGACCTTCCCATTTCGAATGTAAGTGCGATTCTAATTTATTTCTTTTTCTTTGAGTTTGATATAATTCAAATGTCAGTTAACATCGAATGTTCATTTACTTGAATTAATTGGCAAACGTAACGGTTTCATTCACATTCGATCGTGTTGAAAAATCAATGAGTATCAAGCGAAAAAAGAAACAAAAGTAAAAGGTTGTATATCGTAATATATTTTTTTTTTAAATTGAGTGTACGCATAATTGCGTTCACAATTTGCCATCACACATTGTATAGATGAATTGTTGATTTTTATTTTTCAGTCAACAACCTTGTACTTCGCTGATGTGTTAATGATGTAAAATCAATCATTGTTTTTGTGGCTCAAATGTTTTTTTTTAATTAAGTACTTTTGAATTTCGTGGTTCGTTTTGATTTTAATTCGATTAACATAACAATTACTTCTTTTCTTTTTTCTGGACCGTTTGTGATTCATGAGATCGATGATAAAATATATAGACCTGCATTGAGGTCAATTCGAACAAAATTGATCAAAAGCACTGAATGACGGAATGATTTAGATAAGATTCGATCAAGCGATAACAAACACTTCTCCAAAAATGGAAACTTTTTTTTGCCTTTCAATTGGAATAAACATTATCCCTATCATTATTATTAAGTCATAAACAAACAAAAAGTAATGGCGTTTGAATAATGATTCTTCTTTTTGTTTGCTTATTCTTTTCGTTCGATTGTAGCTGGATCAGCTGTAGATGCTTTTATTGATCAATTGGTGCCATTGTTGTCGGCAGGCGATTTGATCATTGACGGTGGCAATTCGGAATACCAAGACACCGCCAGACGATGCGAAGAATTGGCAAAGAAGAATATTTTGTACGTTGGATCCGGTGTGAGCGGTGGTGAAGAGGGTGCAAGATATGGACCATCACTTATGCCAGGTGGTCACAAAGAAGCATGGCCATTGATTAAGGATATTTTCCAATCGATTGCTGCCAAATCCGGTTCGGAACCATGCTGTGAATGGGTTGGCGAAGGTGGTGCCGGTCACTTTGTTAAAATGGTACACAATGGTATTGAATACGGTGACATGCAATTGATTTGCGAAGCATACGATTTGATGAAGGCACTCGGTCTGAGTCAAAAAGAAATGGCAACCGCATTCGATGAATGGAACAAAAGCGAATTGGATTCATTTTTGATTGAAATTACACGTGACATTTTGAATTATAAAGATGAAAATGGTTATTTATTGGAGCGTATTCGTGATACAGCCGGTCAAAAGGGTACTGGTAAATGGACCGCAATCTCTGCATTGCAATATGGTGTACCAGTTACGCTAATCGGTGAAGCCGTATTCTTCCGCTGCTTGTCGGCATTGAAAGAAGAACGTGTTCATGCCAGCAAACACTTGAACGGACCAAGTGGCAACAATGGTGTCGCTGATCGTGCACAATTTTTAAATCACATTAAAAATGCATTGTACTGCTCAAAAATCGTGTCGTATGCACAAGGTTTTATGTTGATGCGTGAAGCAGCCAAAGAATTCAACTGGAATTTGAACTATGGTGGAATTGCATTGATGTGGCGAGGCGGTTGCATTATTCGTAGTGTATTTTTGGGCAACATTAAAGAGGCATACACACGTAATCCACAATTGTCGAATTTGTTGTTGGACGATTTCTTCAAGAAAGCCATTGAAAACTGCCAAAATTCATGGCGTCAAGTTGTAAGCCAAGCCGTTTTAATGGGTGTCCCAGTGCCAGCTTTGTCAGCCGCTCTTGCTTTCTACGATGGATATCGTGCCGAAAAATTGCCAGCCAATTTATTACAAGCTCAACGTGATTACTTTGGCGCCCACACCTATGAATTGCTCGGCAAAGAAGGTAAATTTGTACACACAAACTGGACCGGCACCGGTGGCAACGTTTCAGCCAGTACTTATGATGCATAATTTATTACATCCGGTAACAATCAATACTAAAAGAAATTTTATAAAATCAAAACAAATTTCAAACATTCCAAGTATTGACACTAATTTCTTTTTTAACAAAATTATTTCTTTTGTATTTTGTACAAATAGTTGTTTGTTATTGCACACTTTTTTTACGAATTTTTACATACTCCATGGATGGAATTCTACGTTAAAGTTGGAATAAAAACAAACATAAAACAAAATAATAAACGGGGACTTTTATTTTTCTGTATAAATTATAGTTAAAATAAATAAATAAACAAATAGACTTTCAGTACGGATAAAAAACAGTATTCTGTCTCATTTGAGGAATCGACTAAGCAAATTCATCATCGGTGTATAGAATCCAGTAAATTGTTCTAAAATCGAAATTTTACAGTCTTTAAATACACGTTCACAGGGTGCACCTTCTTTTCCAAGCTTTTCAGCGCGATAATATTCCAAATCCGAATAATCGGAAATTTGGTCTCGTGTTGTTGATGGCCTGAATGAAACGATTAAACCAATAATTTATAAACCATTTTTGATTCAATGTCATACGTAAAGAAATATTTAAACTTACGACATCACAATATGCATCAGTTCGCCCAGAATTCCATTCGAATAATCGAACGGTGTTTGGGCCGATTCACAAATAATTCTCATTACACATGGTTTACCTGAGAGGCCCTTACTGTAACATTTGAAAGATAAAATTCTTATTCAATTTGAACATTTTTCAATTTTTTTTTTTGTTAAAAAAATAAAAAAATTGAAACCTTTCAGCGATTGCAGCAATTCCTTTGTAAATGGTCCAACGTGTTGTTCCCAAATTCTGTGGCCTTTTCAATGCCAATGGATCTTTCGATCTATCAAAATGTTCTTCTTCAAACCATGACCTTTCATCCGAATCCGCATCACTTTCATTCAGCGCTTCTGTTCCACTTTCAACAACTTCAGCTACGACCTTATACTTTTCAAATCGTTCATTTTTCTCATTATCATAACCTTTATATTCATGCAATGTATTTTCGGTCGCTTCAGTTGTAACTGTTTCTTCAACAAAACGTTTTCGACGTTTTGCTCCCGTTATTGGACGTGTCGTTAGATCATACGGATCAGATAAAATGTTTAAATAATTCGATGCATTTTCTGGTAGAAAAAATTCGGCTTTAAAAACGTAGCCAATTGTCACCGATTCAAGCTCCAAATCCACAGGAATACCGATGCCGGATATAATCTGTACGAACACAATATAGACACTTTAAAATGATTCGTACACTTTTTTTTCATTTTCGACCAATTATACCTGTACACGAGTCGGAGCAGTTGGCGGAAATATTAGAAATCGACGAGATCGATGCGCCAATGAATTCACAATTGTCATTGAAATAATCAAAATCACAAATACGCATCCAAACTTATTCATCGTCATTAAAATGCGTTCAACTGAATAATAATGATGTTATCGGAGATACGGCTAAAATTAACTACATCACCGTACGTAATATCGATTGTAACAAGGCCTAACAAGTGCTCATCGTCAGATTCATGCAGCGAGATTCATCAATTAACACCCATTTAACCGTTTTACAAACGATATAACGGTCCCGATTGGAATGTGGACAAAATGTATTTAGAGCAATATTTTTTATCGCACACTCATAAATGCCTATCATTTAATGTAAAATAAATTGTGACATCACAAAATAAATAAGCAAACAAGATTGTGGAGCTGTTTGTAAAGTTCTTGTATGAATTCTTATTTGAGACTTTTTATTCCATTGTATTTTTCCACCAAAAATTATTAGAATGATTATTTTTCATTTTCCAAAAGATAGACCAGTTTCAATGCAAAAACGACAGAATTTATTTGAAAAATTCGGTATGATTGAGTTCGTGACGCTACACACCTCAAAATTGTATAATTCTATTTTGATTAGCAACTTTTTTTTACTCAAGATTATTTGTTTAAATCTATAATCGGTGTATAAATCCCAGAAAATTGTTCAAGCAGTGATGTTTCACAATCATTGAAAATATATTGACATGGTGCGCCTTCTTTTCCAAGTCTTTCTGCATGATGGTATTCCAAATCTGAATGATCTGAAATGTCATCATGTGTTGTTGATGGCCTGCGAAAAAATACTTTCGTCATTTTAGTTTAGACTATTTTAGAAATAGATTAACCTACGTCATTACAATGTGCATCAATTCGCCAAGAATGCCATTGGAATAATCAAACGATGTGTGTGCTGATTCGCAAATACTTCTCATTACGCACGGCTTGCCCGCCAGTCCTTTGCTATAAAATGGTAAACTTAATTTTTATGTTTCTATACATTGATTGATAAAAAATACAGAAAAAAAATGTCATAAAAATCGAACCTTTCAGCAATTGTGGCGAAGGCTTTATAAAGAGTCCAACGCGATGTTGCCGTATTTTGAGGAGCATTTGACGACATTGGATCATCATTATATTCATGATTGTGCGGCGCAACTATCAAGCTTTCGTCATCTATTTTTCCATTAATTTCTCTCGCAGATTCCGTGCCACTTTCAACAATTTCAGCTTCAGCATTGTGCCTTTCGTATTTTTCATTTTGTTCACCATCGAAACCGTGATGTTGATCAAATGATTCGGTTGTCGTTGAAACATCAGCTAATTTCATGGGTGTCGTTTCTTCAATTGAACGTCGATCGAATATATGTGTTGATAGGTCAAATGGATCTGCCAATGGATTTATAAAATCCGATGCGTTGTCCGGAATATAAAAGTCAGCCTTAAAAACATAACCAATTGTTACCGTTTCAAGATCCAAATCAACAGGTATACCCAATGCAGATAAAATCTACAAGAATTCAACATTTCAATGAATATAATTATAGATATTTATAACACAATAATGCAGTTGCAGTTTAATCACTTGAATTCGTGTTGGAGCAGTTCGGGGAAATATTAAAAATCGCTTGGATCGATGATTAGTTGAACTAATGACTACTGGAACTATCAAAAATAAAAACAGTAGCATAGATTTGCAATCGCTTAATTTATTCATACTTGAAAATGTGAAAGAACGTTCTGCAAGCTAATGTCCAAATTGACTGCGATGTTATTTGTTCCAATCAATTTTATAGTACAGTATCAATCTTCCACCAAACTTTCGTCTCATGCTTCATTAATTAACAAAAATGAAAAAAAGAACTTTTTGCACCAAAAAAATGCAACGGGTAATTTATCGATAAAAATAGAGCAATAAAGAAAAATGGAGCATATTAGTGGAAAAACAAAAATTTGTTGTTGTCATTTTTTTTATTAAACATGCTAAATTAATTTACAATATTTGTGAGTAAGTCCATAATTGGTGTATAGACGCCGGTGAACTGTTCAAGAATCGACATTTTGCATTCTTTGAAAATATTTTCACACGGTGCACCTTCCTTTCCCAGTTTTTCAGCACGATAATATTCATAATCTGAATAATCCGATACTTGGTCTTGTGTTGACGATGGCCTAAAAGATATTTCCTTTTGAGATATTCTCCACGTCAATTTGAAACGTGATCAACTTACGACATAATTACATGCATCATTTCGCCCAAAATCCCATTGGAGTAATCAAATGGCGTATGAGCCGATTCACATATACTTCGTAATACACACGCTTTACCTGACAATCCTTTACTGAAAAAAAAATTCATAGAAACCATATTTTAGAATTCAAATAATTTAATTTATTTCTTTTTAGCTTAAAATAGTCTGATTTAGTTTTTGGTTTTGCCGGCAATTTGGTGTTATGAAAAGATTCATCGGGGAACTTGACAAACCTGTCTGCTACAGCTGCAATTCCTTTATACAATGAAAAGCGTGATGTTCCCAAATATTGTGGAATTCTTAAAGCTCTTGGATCGTCTCTATAAGCACTTTCTTGATCAATCCACAAGCCATTATCAATAATTTCTTGTCTGTCATTTAATTTCTTCCCGGTCTCCGTTCCACTTTCAATTACTTTGGCTTCAACTTCATATCTTTCGTATCGTTCATTTTGTTCCCAATCAAAACCCTTGTTTTCGTCATTTTGTTGTGGTGATTGTGTTTGTTGTTTGGCATCTAGAGATCGTCGTTTTCGGTTCATTCCTGATATTGGTTGTGTAGTCAAATCAAACGGATCGTTCAACGGATTTAGATAATTCGAGGCATTTTCTGGCAAAAAGAATTGCGCTTTAAAAACATAGCCAATTGTCACCGATTCAATCTCTAATAATGACACCGGAATACCAATGCCAGATATAATCTAGAGAAATTTAATCTTCTATTTAGTTTGATTGAATGTAATCGATGAAATTCACTTTTTTACCTGTACTTGGGTTGGCTGTGTACGCGGAAAGGTTAAAAATCGACGAGCACGATGTGCTGTGGAGCTCTCACATACAGGCGACAAAAATAAAACAAAAATTATCCAATTTTTTATTGAACTCATGATTTACGGGAAAATGAAGACTTTTTGAAGTAAAATCCATCGAAATACTACGTCAAATGAATCAATTTGAGATGAAGGTGATGCCATGAACCCAATCAGCATAAAAACCAGTAAAGTTCTTTTGCATGATTTTATAATTAGTATTTATTTGTGTTTTCTATAAACTATTTATTCACTCATTGTTTCAAACGGAACTTAAATTTAATTAAATTACGAAATAAAATTGAAAATTCGTGAATTATTAATTATTCCAAAAAAAGATGTTTCTTTTATTTCTTAGCACAGAAAATTACGGTATATCTTCACGAATCATATCCGAATAGATTCCACTGAATTTATCTAAAATTGATATTTTGCACTCTTTAAATATATGTTCGCATGGTGCACCTTCTTTCCCCAATTTTTCGGCATGGAAATATTCATTATCATCATGATCAACAATCTCGTCTCCATCATCGGTTAGTGAGGGGCTAGAAATATTCATAAGTTGACATATGTTTGAATATTCAAAAGTATTTTTTATTTCTTACGTCATGAGAATGTGCATCAATTCACCAAGAATGCCATTCGAATAATCAAATGATGTATGCGCTGATTCACAAATGCCTCTTAAAACGCAAGATTTTCCATCTAAACCTTGTCTGTAATTTTTTTAAATTTTATCAACCTTGATTACCTTAAATCGATTGTTACCAGGAGATAAATACCTTTGTGAAAGTAATGCTATACTTTTATAAATACCCCATCGTGCCACTGATATTTTTTTCGGTTTTTTTGGATGCACATTTTTTATCCATTCCGCGTGATCTTCTTGGTTCCAATAGTCTGCTTCAGTCATTTCATCCTCATCGTCCGTATCTGTTCCGCTCTCCACCACTTCAGCATTGGCTTCGTATCGTTCAATTTTTTCATTTGTTTCACTATCAACTGACAATATTGCCGGATTTTCGGTTGGTTTTGGCACTTCAATTGTACGAAAATCGTCACGTTTTTTTCGAACGTAAAATCCCGTTATTGGTCTTGTCGTCAAATCATATGGATCATTGATGAAACTTAAAAAATTCGTTGCATTTTCAGGTAGAAAAAATTCCACTTTGTTAACCCAACCAACTGTTACTGATTCAATCTCTAATTCAACGGGTATGCCAATGCCGACAATCATCTGAATCACATACAAACACACACACAAGAATATGGAAATTATTTAAATTGACTCAACAGATGAACGTTTGAATTACCTGCAAACGAGTCGGCGATGTTCGGGGAAATGTCAAAAATCGCTTCGATCGATGTTCTGATTTTGATAAATTTATTGAAAAAATAATCAAAAATTCAACGAAAAATAATCGCCAAATCATTTTTCTTCAAAGCAAATAAATGAACGAGTAAAATGATGAACGGATGAATACACTATTAGAACTAAGTCACAAATGAGCAAAATAGCTTCAAAACATGAATGATTCTGGCCTATATATGTCATTAAAACATAAAAAGTATTGGGATAGAAACGAAAATGTGTTAATTAACCTACGAAATACTATGCAAAACAAAACAAAAATTACGGAACACAAACAATTCTGGTTTTCAGTTTTATAAATTAATGTCGAAGATGGTAAACCAAATTTTTCTGGTATCGATGCATAAATGAGTGAAAGTCAAAAAATATTTTAAATCCCCAGGGGTCCGCAGAAAAATTAACCAATTTTATCAAAATGATATGATTTGAATTCGAGCCATATCGACCTTATAAAAACCTTGTTGTATAATAAGTCCAAAAGCTTCCAGAACATTATGCCGCCATGAGGGTGATGTGCCACCAAACATTTGATGTACAGTGTCAACACTTTGTGCAGCACATCAAGCCATAATAACTTCCATTAAAAAAAAATCAATTTCTTTTGATCAAAAGAATAATTTTTTAAACACTTTCTTCTGTCGCATAGAATAAACACTTTCTTCTGTCAAATGCTGACTGTCAGCAATTTTTGTATGGCGGTGTTACATTTCAATAAACTCTCAGGAGAAGACTCACATTCATTCTCGGACAATCATATGCATATATCAATTACGACCAAAATCAAGAGGTTTCATCGAACTTAAATCGTCGTCACCAAGTGCTAAGCCTAGAATTGTGCCCAATTATTTCAGCCATCCAGATGATATGTCTGCTATATTACGTGCTTTGAAAGAACAAATCGCTTTGGATAACACGACATCATATCGCAAACATGAGGGCGAATTTTTAAGGTTACCGCTCCCCGAATGCGATAAATTCGAATATAGATCGGACGAATATTTAAGATGTTACATAAAATATATGAGCTTCACCGTTTACAATCCACTTGGCACAAGTAAAATGAGTCCCGACAGTGATGTAGATGCCGTGCTTGATTCACGATTAAATGTTCGCGGTGTGAAACGATTGAGACAAATCGATGCTGGAATTAGTAATAATATTTTATATTAAATGACGCAGGAGATTTTTTTTATTAAATATAATGATGTTTTGTGTATTTTCAGTGCCTGAGCCGGTGGGCGCCAATTTAGATGCGTCCTGTTACATGGTTGGTGAACTTGGTGCCGATATAATCAAGGAAATGAGAAATGCTAAATACCAAATAATACCGAAAAAATTCAATTTCTTTCACATTTACAAGGACATCACAAAAATAAATGCACAATTTTAATTCTTCATCAAAAATATTTGAAGTTGTTAGGTATTCAGATCAACTAAACATTTTTGATTAAATAAAATCGCCTTAATGATATGAAATATTTAAGGATTTCAAACTCAACATACTATAATATATTATTGCTTTTTTTTCTATTCATTGAATGATCAAAAAATCGTCAAGTGCCATTAACTTAATACAACAATTGCTCACTCAATGTGAAATGAAAGCGATCATATTTCATTAATACGCACTCAAAGCTATCATAATATTGTGAAATTCGCTGATTTCCACTTAATTAGTCATCAATTATAAGAAAATTCCAAGCTTTTTCTTGAGATTTTTTTATTATTATTTTCAAAATTCTCACAAAATTCGTTTTTGGAGCGAAAAATCGATTTTTTTTAAATATAAATTCAGAGGTAGTTGTTTTCTGAGATTGATCCGTTCATCACGTGCGATTTGATCTTCCGAAATCATGCGAACAATGCGTTTGGTTTGGTTGAGTAAATCCCAGTAAATTGATCCAATATAGACATTTTACACTCATTAAATATATGTTCACATGGTACGCCTTCTTTTCCGATTTTTTCCGCATATAAATATTCATTGTCTTCATATTTGGTGATCGGATCAATTGTGGAGGAGGGTCTGAAATATAAATGAGTCATTTTAAAATGAAATCAATTAATTTCAATTGTTACTCACGTCATGACGACATGAAATAGCTCTCCAAGGATTCCATTTGAATGGTCAAAAGATGTGTGGGCCGATTCGCAAATACTTCTCAAAACACACGGCTTTCCAGGCATTCCATTGCTGAAAATGATATTCATGGAAATTCATTGTAAATGTAAGAATGGCATGAAAATGTGAAGAAGAAATCTTACTTTTCTGCAATTTCAGCCAATCCCTTGTAGACTAGCCAACGTGTTGATGCATAATTATTGATGTCATCTGAACTGTCAATGCTGTTGGACTCGGTACCACTTTCTACAACTTCGGCTTCTATTTGATGTCTTTCATATTGTTCATGTTGTTCACTGTCGTATCCAGTCGATGCTGAATCATCGATATTCTCGTGAATTGAACGTTTGTTAAAGGTTGTGATTGGATGCGTGCTCACATCGAATGGATCAGAAAAAACGGCCCAGAAATCGGTCGCATTCATCGGCAAAATGAAACCAGATTTGAATACGAATCCCATTGTCACCGCCTCTAGTTCGAGATCGACGGGAAGACCAACACCTGCAATAATCTGAAACAAAATAAGTTTGTATGCAATTTTTAACACTTTTCACTTTTTCGTTCTAAAATTACCTGCACAACTGCAGAATTTCGGCGAACAAATGGCAAAAACCGTTTTGTTCTATGGTCGAATGCAACATTTGTTTTGAGAACAACTAGAAATAAAAGAAATAAATGGAACGTAAATTTTTTCATAGTGATTTTTTTCACGTTAGTGTATCACTTTGCCAGTCGAATCTACAAGAATGAAATAAAATTACGACTTTTTTTTCTTTTTAAAATTTAAGTAGATCATATTTAAATAATAACATGCATTGTAAATTAGCGTCATCGTTTTCATTTATAATTTGTGTATTTTTCTCGATTTTTCTATATTTAAAATGAGGATGTACCGTAAATTTATTCGTAGTTTATTAAAATTCGGCAGAAAATATTTACATTTAATTTCCATATTCCAGTAAATAAAACTAGACATCGGCAATAGAACAGATTTACATATGAAATATTGCGATTTCATTTCGAAACAAAATTTTATTCTATTTGTGGTGTTATTTAGCGCGATGCAATTAGTTAGAATAATCTTTTTTCAGATGGGTATAGTTTGCTTCATTTCGAATGAGTGAAACGTGTTCGCAACAAATGTATTAATTACAATTGATTTGTTTGTCTCGCATTGCCAATTCTGAGTCTGACCATCATAGCGAATTTTGCTTTCGAACTGAACTAGTTTTGTCTGAGCATCGATTATCGAAACAACCGTTCTACATGCAGTTGCCGTGAATCAGTCCAACTTATGGTATATTCATCGCAACATTTTTCTGAATTTTTAAACCAATTAAATTGATCATCCGCTGTACTGTGGTAAAAACATGAATATGTTCTACACAGTTGTCATCACCATCATACTAATTGTGTGTCAACAAATAGTCGGTTCGATTGCATTAAAAAACAATAGCGAAGAACATGAGCGTAATAAGCGCTTTGTTTTTTTGAGAGGCAGCGGAATTGGTGTGAGTTAAAATAATTTGGTGATTTAAATGAAAATTTCGGGATTCTTTAATGCAATTACATTTTTAGTACTTGGTCGCGTTGGCAATTCCAACAAGTGCGGTAAATCGACAGCGTGTTTATATGGCATTTAATTTTGAAGCGCATTATGGACTTGCTAGCGCCGATACATTTTTGACATCGTTAAGGTCACCGGTAGGTTATTTATCAATTGCCATTGAGTTGTGGAAGTTCCTCATTTAAATTCCTGAACATAAATAATAACCAGTTGATTTGAATAGTTTCCAGGCGATGATTTAAGTCAACGTAAGCGTGATTTACGTGGCATCATGGTTGATGACCGACTCAAACATTTTTCGGGAAATAAAAATGTATACACACGAAAAAACTTTTATCGAATCCTCGAGCAGCAAATAAACTCGTACGAGATAACTTTTTTGAGTTTTGTAGAAAATATATTTTTTTTTCTAATTTCTTCAAATATTTTCATACAGTTATGGTTATAACGGAACTTCTTGTTTATTACGAACGATTTGTGAAACATCGGAAACACCATTTCATGAGTATAACGGCGTTTTTGGCAATATCTTTCATATTTTGTTTACGTGAGTGTGATTTATTCATTTCTATTCATGGTTCAAACATTCAATAGATTCAATAGTCAAGTTTCCATTTCAAATACTCATAATTTTCACTGAATTGATTACAGGCCATCCTCCTCAAAAGCGGAAAACATTAAATCAACTTATTATGAAGCGGAATATCATGGTCGAATCCAAGATTGTCAACAATATATCGATGCTTGCAATGTCAGTTTTTTGGACTTGATTTCTCATATGATTACTGTAGAATCGCGTAAAATGATGTAGAAATATATGCCAATAAAAATTGTAATAAATGACACTTTGTAAACTTTTATTTTCGGTAGATGTCACATTTTACTTTAAAAAAAAGAATTGAAACCTTGGCCAAGTGAATGAGAAAATGGAAAGTGGATAAAATGATTTACACTATGATATATAAGTTAACATGAAAAGGTTCAGCAACAGAGCTCGATATCACATCCCACATCTTTGTGTCAATGACCTCAAGCTCAATCCGACAGATTTATTACACCGCTATCTTTTACACGTTAATAAAACATTTTGCTGGCGTATGTGTTGCGGTTAATGCTCAACATTACCGTTAACTAAAAAGTGAATACACTGTACTTGCTAAAAATACCACATTTACATAATGGAATGCAGAACAATGATACGATAATAAGTATTGCTAATATTGCGCACTTGAATGTGAACGTCTCTTATGAGCAGTAAAAATTTAACGAAAAATAGATCATTTTTAGCAATTACTTGAACAGAACTGTACTTCAATAGAAAATTAGTTTTTTGTAGCATTTTACGGAAATAGTGTTGAGATCGGTTTGGTATTTTATGTGAAGTAGTCTTGTTTCATGAAAAGAACATCGTATTTTGTTTGAAAGATTACAATTTTTATGATGATTTCCGACGTAAATTTTATTTATTTGTATTTTATTTGCTTGATAAATGTTGTGTGGGCTTCAAGTTGTGAGCATGACAGTTGTGTTATTGATGCAGCAAATAAACGAAACATTCGCAACGAACGTGCACTTTTATTTCCACCATCGAGTACAATTGGTGTATGTTGAATTTGTTTTCAGTGATTTTATTCAATAGATAATTTAGTCTTAGTGAGAAAATGAATAAATTTTGAATTAAAACATGTATTGTAGATTCTTGCCGCAATTGCCGTTCCGTTGGATGATCGAAAGAATGTATTTCTTTCTTATAACTTTGAAGCTAATTATAATAGCCCATTTAGAGGTTCGGACTATATACCGGGGCCACTCGATCGGGTATGTGCTCTTTTTATATCCATTTTTTTATCTTTTTAGTTTATTCCACCGAAAATGAAATAAATCTTATTGTAAATTTTTCGCTGTAGTTACAAATAGAACGTTCATTTGGCACTGGAGCCAACAATTCAAACGCAAATGCTAAATCTCAAACTGAAAATAATTTTGAAAGTGAAGAATCGAACGAAACGATCTCAATGACCGAAACCACTGCATCACCAAAGGCAAGGAGGAGTTTAATTACTAGGACCAATATTTACAAAACGATTGAACGGAAATTGAACGCGTTTGTATTTACAATAAGAAAAATTAGCAGAAACGAAAGATGATATGTTTGAATTTTTTTCCATCAGAGCTGGATACAATGGTCACGATTGTTTGTTGCGTGCCATATGTGATGCTGCCGATATTCCGCTTGGTTTACACAATGGCGTTCTAGGAGATTTAATGCACATTATTTTCACGTAACCCTTCATAACTGCGTTCGCATTAAATTACGACCGAAATACAATGTACATTTGCTTTTCATTTGCTTTGTAGGCCATCATCATCGGCAAAAGAGAATATTCTGTACGATTTTTACGATGCCGAAATGCACGGAATGCTCAATATGTGCAAACGTTATAGCAAGAATTGTCCAGAGAGTATATTGGATTGGATCAGTCTATTTGAGCAACGATGATTACGAATTTACGTGTCACATATCATATTCTATTCTTACATTTGTCTGTGTAAATAAATCGTTGAGAGTGATGAATTAGTGTCTAAATCGCATTGGAATCCAATGTATTTTTTATTCATTTTATCGAAAATATATATATATGCACACAAAAACGCTATAATTAAATAAAAAGAGTGTTGAGCAGATTTTACTGAAGCTATTAATATAGTTTTTAGTTTGTTTTGACAATGGTTCCATCAGAGTTGACTTTTGAGCTTGCTGACTTTGTTATTATCATCTCAACAAAATAACACATTTTCACTTGATATTTTGTTGAATTTGCTTTTCAAATGAATATTAAAGTTGTATTTTGTGTAGTTTATGGATGTTCAGTACTGGAATGTGTAGCAAAATTGTCGTCGGAATTAGAATCACATGAAAGAACTGAGATTTTATCGCGAAATGTGCGCGTTACTTCATATATACCATATCAATCTGGAATCAGCGTAAGAAAAATTAATCGTATTTTCAAATTTTTTTTTTTTTTTTTTCAAAAAAACAACTTGATAATATCTTCATTTTAGTCGACGGTTGGATTAGATATTCCAGTAGATAATGGTCGCGGCGATATTTTTATTTCGTTTTGTTTATCGCTCGCATATGGACAACCAGAATATAATACACCCGACGGAATTAATCCACATCCTCATAAAACGGTTGGTTCCGATCTTATTCGCCTCTTTGGCAATATAAATTCAAAATTTGATAAAATGTTTGAATTTTTTTTTCAAGCTTTATGGAGACACAATAGATTCGATAAAGCGTTCAAATCGAAACACATTTTTAACACGGCGAAAATTTTTCCGCGTCTTTGCCGACAATTTAAAAGAGTAAATTTTACTAATCATTACTGTCCGAAGCAGTTTTACTTTTTTCCACTTTATTTTCAATTTTAATATTTTAATTGCAATTTGATAGAAAAGGATTCAATGCAAATCACTGTATTTTAAAAGCAATATGCGAAACGGCACAATATCAGTTTGGCAATGAAAATGGACTGCTCGGCGATATCATTCATATTTTGTTCACGTAAATATCACTTTAGATTATACGTTTTTTGGGCACATAGTCGTTCTGAGTGAATTATTGACACTTTTTTATAGGCCGACGACGTCAAAAAATGAAGGCCTTCCGACAAGATTCTACGAAGCAGAAATGAATGGCCAATTGAATTTATGTGAAAAAAAGTACGACACAAATTGTCCGATCTCCATTTTTGATTCAATAACGATTATGAAATAACTCTACAAATAAAATGAAATGAAACCAAATGAAATTTTTCCACTAATTGCACTGAAACTGACCACTGGTGAGAGATGCTAATTAATATTTAATGAAAAAAAGAATTTCAAAAGATGTTTACCAATTTAGTTCATTTAACCATTAAAAATATGATGGTTCTGCCTGGTACACATAATTTTACCTCTATTTGTGTGAATCAATCGGTTCATTTAAGCCGCCATTCCATTTTTGTTAGGAGTAGTTATAAGTTGCGTCAATTTGCGTCACAAATATTTTATTCGGACAAAAATGGAGCGAAATATTTTTAATTTGGTTTTGATTTTGTTATTTATTGAGATGCACGAAATTTCAAGTTCAATTGAACAATCACGGCAAAAACGGGTCATTCCAACCCCATATTCGCCGTTTCAAACAATGTTTTCGGTTTGTTATTCAATAATATACCTTTGTTCAGACAAATTCCACACACATTTCTTTGTCTTTTCGGCAGCTTAGTGTTGGCCTGGCTATTCCAGTTGATAATGGTCGCGGCGATATATTTATGTCACTTTGCGTTCAATCGAACTTTAATCAACCAACTTTTTCACCATTGGAGCCGCCACTATTTCAAACGGTATTTTGCATCATCTTATGATAGCTCGTTGAATACTACTTTCTCTTCTTTTTTTTCAGATCCATGGTGATCAGGACGAAAGGAAATTGAAAAAGGCGGATTTCAAAGATGGATCCGACGATGAAACAATAAAAACAAAACAAAACGAAAAAAATGAAAAACCACCGGAAATATTTAAAAAGTTGCTGGACACCACAACACGTAAAAAATTCTTCAAATTGCTTGAGCATAAATTGAAAATGTAAATTGTAATCGAAATCAAAACTGCCGCAATTTTAATGAGATTTTTTTTTTTAAATAACTCAATAGATATGGCTTTAACGGTGAATCATGCCTATTGAAAGCAATTTGTGAAGCATCCAGCCATTTATACGGCAAATACAATGGCGTCGTTGGTGATATTGTACATATCCTTTTTTCGTAAGTTTTGTCATTCAAACTTAAGTACAGGTGAAACCTCTCTATAATGGAAACTGCCCTTTGCGTCATCGACGGTTAACTTGAGTTTTCCGTTATTGGAAGTTAATTTTGTATGGAAAAGGTTAACATTTAAAAACGGTCAAAAGATGGAAAATTCCACCGTTTCTTCGTTATTAGGAGTTTCTTTACTGTACATGAAATCATTTTAATTGTTTTTCTTTTAAGTTTTCAACTTCATGCTTTATTTTTTCTAAGGCCATCAACTTCTAGAGATGAGGATTTACCTTTTGCTTATTACAAAGCGGAACAACATGGCAACGCTGGAAGATGTAATACAATTTATGGCAAAAAATGCCCAATCGGAATATTTGATTACATTTCTTTTTTGAGTGAAACTTGATTTTATCTTGTCAAATAAAAGACCATGAACATTCAACAGTTTTTCATTTCATTTAAAATCGGTTATATTTTTCTAATAGATACTAGTTTTCAGTTAGAAACTTCGAATTATTGAGATTTAATTTAATAAATCGAGTTAAATTTTTGATCACTGACTTCTAATCGATGCGATACTAAAATGGAGTAGTCTCACATTATCTTTTGATCCAGTCCTATTTTGTTGATCTAACAATTCGATCTTGCTACTTGTTTTTTGCTAGAGAAAAATCTCAAAGGTGCTATTAACAGCTAGAAATTCATCGTTTGCTGCACCGAATTAGAATAAGAATACCAAAAGAAGAAC